TTTTATGGCAGAAGATTCTGTGCTGTTTACGACAGGACACCTTCTGGGAGAGCAATGAAAGTACTTGCCAGCCAGTTCTTTCTAGAATGCATATGCCTGCACTTCTAGCCAGACGCCAGGTGGTATATGAGTGAAAATGAGAGAAGGACGGACGAACTTGGTTCCAGCTGCTTGCAGAAGGTTCAGCATAAGGGGTGGTGCCAGTCCCAGCCAACAAATTTCCCCCACCGGTTCCCGCCCCCTCTAGGCTCGGCAAAAATTGGCACGCAGGGAATTTTTAGGCTCAGCATCAATAGCTGAGAAAGGTACTGGTGGTTTAACATTACACCGCTAAATCCCCAATCCATAGCATGTTGTGCAGTAACACTACCAATATCTACAAGTCATTGTTTCCGAATACGATTGTTGTTAACATTTCCTCAACTTCGTCTATACGAGAAGCAAATTACTGTGAAAATAGAAGTTCAACAAGTTTTTTGCCCAAGGGTAAATCCCGTGCAAAGAATTTTGGGAGCAAGAACGCATGCTAGACCCTATGCAAGGAGTTTAGGGAGCAAACATGCATGCTAGATCCTTGTGCAAAGCGTTTCAGAAGCAAGAATGCAAACTCTTTCACAAATTGCTAGAAATTTGGCCACTATGAAAAATAGCCCAAAGGCTAGCCCCCCGCTTGTGGGACTTAGGGGCTCGTTACACTCGGAAGGAAATTCCTCGGGCTCCGAGGATTCCCCAGCCATTTCTTCCTTTTGCCCAAGGGACCTCACGAGCTCCCTTGGGCAAAAGGAATCCGCGTTTCACGGAGAGGAGTGGGCACATGGTTAGAGAGACTTTACAACCGAGAATCTGAATCGTGGCGGCACCCTGTTGGCTGAAGGCCTCAAGCACATTTGATTTTTCTTTTCTTTCCTTTTTTCTTTTCTGACATCGCTCGAAGGAAATGTCCTCAGGCGATGTCCCCAAGGACAGGTGGAACGAAGGGCCCAAATTTCCTTTTGAACCAACATGAATTTTTCCTTTTGCCCGAGGATTTCAATAGGAGTGTCTAACGAGCCCCTTAGCCCTTGGATACAATTTTTCCTTTTGCCTGAAGAAGTTTCTATGATGAAATTTGATCAATATAGGCAAAAGATAATAAAGGCATTTGACGGACCAACTATTTCTTCGTCGTTTTCTTCAGAATTGAAAAAAAAAAGGGACAACTTAAAAAAAGTGCAATTTCAGATTCATCCTTTCAAAAAAGTTGCCGTGTTTTAAAAAAGTGCAATTTCAGTTTCATCCTTTCAAAAAAGTTGCCGTGTTTTGGAAAAGTAGAGGCTGAAAACTGAAATTTTAGAATGGCATTCGGGGTTGCAGAAAGTGCAATCCTGGAATTCCAAAACAGTTCGTTTTCCATTTCGGGCCTCCTTTTCTTTTCCTTTTTCTTTTGAGAAAACTACGGCGCAGTCAGGGTTTCAGTTTGAAAATGCATTTGAGGCGAAAGGGCCCGTAATGGTGAATGTATATAACCTGGGTTTCGGGTCTGGTGGGGTCACGTGGGGGTGTGTTGTGTTCGCCGGATTGCCTGAAGTGCATTTTCAAACTGTTTTCGTGACTGGGCCCGAGGCCCGAAGTTACCCCTTTTTTTTGTGTTCTTTTCCAGTTGGGTCCCCATCCACTCTGGTGTGCTAGACGGGGACCATGCACCTATAGTCAAAAACCCCACCCCTAGCAGAGGGAGTCCAGCCAATGAGGTGGACATGCACCAAGCCAGGTGGGAAAGCCCGAAGATGGAGCTGCATAGAAGCACATAAACTGAGAGGGTGCTTCATGTTTTGTCCTGCACCGTAAACTGGGAAAAGAAAAGAAAGGGGTAACTTCAGCAGAGTAACAAAAACGAGTTAATTGCATTATGGGGCAAGATACAGTTTGCAATTGCATTTCAGGCACCCTACCTGGCCAGAAAGCTGGGTTGTATACATTGCCTGAACTGCAATTCGAAACTGTATCTTGGCCCATAGTGCAATTATAACTCAAAGGTAGTTTCCCCAAAAGGAAACAAAGAGGGTGCTTCGTGTTTGGACCTGCACCCTTTTTTTAAATCTTTTTTAAACACTGGGGCTGCTCCATCACTGAGTGCTATTTCGGAATGAATCTGGCCAGAAATCTGTGCGAGATTAAGTGGAGCTGAATACAGCACAGATTATTGGCCAGATTCATCCAGAAATAGCCTCTCCTAAGTACTAGTCGTACCAAAGAAGAAGAGGAAGAAAATTTGAGAGGAACTTGAGGAAGGCAGGGGGGCGAAATGAAGGAGGGGGAGGGGATGTCGAAGGATGAAGGACGGGTCCCCAAAAGAGGAACGGCTCAACCTGACTTTGACTGCTACGGTGCTACCCTGAACGGGAAAGCAATCTGGCCCGCCCTTTTTGCCACCGTCTTCTCACGGAGGCAGTTCCCCATTGGCTCCAGAATCTCCTGAACAGCAATTTCGTCAAACGACTATTTGGCCCGAATCTGCCCGAGGAAGGTCGGAATTTTGAAGAAACTGAGGGTCCACTGTTGGTAAGACCCCGTACCCCCTGGACTCCATCTAAGTCCAATACATCCAGGGGGTCTGGCGTTCTTAAAAACGCTGGACCTTCCAACTATGTCCAGATACACCCAGGGGGTCGGCATTTTAAGAACACCAAACCCTCAAAAGCTAGACTCGGGCGGATTCGGGCCAATTTAGTTGGTTTCAATTTCAAATTTGTTCAACAAATAACAAATGTCCATTTTGACGAAATTGCTGTTGCCTGACACTTCTTTTTTTTTTTTTTGGTTAAAGAAAACACGTTCAGCTCATATAAAAAACCGTTGGATGGAGGCCGGGGGCCTCACAATTCGACCCGGAGTTATCCTGGCAGCCTTAGCCAGTGTTGCTTATGTTCCAAAATTCCTCTTTTCCAGACACTAATCCATCTTTGCTTTTAGGATTGAGGGCGGGGTTCTCACAATTCAACCAGCTCGAGCTGGGGCCATTACCCAGTTTCGACTAATGCTGGAAAGCGGGTCCAGCGTCGCTTCCACTTTCACTGGATCGTTTCTACAATTTTAGTTTTCTGCCTCACCTTTTCCAGATCTCTGAGACCTTTTCAAAAGGCTGAAACTGAGACCGCACTTGTCTAAAATTCTCCCCAAGAAAAAATTCCAACAAGCTTTATTTTATTACGGGCCCAGTGCCCAAGGCATACATAACATGAATAAATAAATGAAATGGTATCCCAAGAAAAAATTCCAACAAACTTTATTTCATAACGGGCCCAGTGCCCAAGGCATACATAACTAAAATAAATAAATGAAATGGTATCCCAAGAAAAAATTCCAACAAACTTTATTTTATAACGGGCCAAGTGCCCAAGGCATTAATTACTAAAATAAATAAATGAAATGGTCCAAAGCCCATAACCCTACGCTGATACCTTTCTTGGCCTTAAAAAAAATAAAAATTGTTATTATTATTATTATAAAGGGAGATGGCCTTGAGATATCCTTCATTGACCTAACTGGCCCCAGGCAATTCATAAATATCTTATTTTACCATCTGATTGTGTCTGAATATCGGTATTTCAACAGTCCATGGGTGTCCCAACTGGGCTAGGCCCGTTGGTTTTCTTGGCCTTCTGGCTAAGTTGAAGTGTACCATCCGTTCTGATCAGTTTGATATGTGATCCCCGGTCCATCCAAAGAGGAGGGGGAATTAATGCGGAGCAAATATGGCTCTTAAAAAAAAAACAAAAAAAAAAACGAGGGGGGAAAAAAAAACCGTAGGCTGAGCTTCTCAGCTGCAATAAATGGAAACACAGAGAACTCACGAGAACTCCAACCAGATGCATCACTCATCAAGATTTTGTCCATCGTTGTCCTCAGAACAACTGAAAAAAGACTTCCCACAACGTCGCACCCACTGCTGTCGAGAAGATCAACCATCTCTGAAGCTTACCACTGCAATTTCATCTTTGACCACCCATCTTCTTAGCCCCCATCTGATGCGAATAAAATACAGACGGGTGTGCTAGGCTGATTCATCCACCGCATTAATGCCTAAAAACGCCGTAGGTACTGGTGGTTAAAAGAACCTCAAAAAGCATACCAGCAGATTTCTCTGGGAGAGTCGGCAGAAGCGATATCACCCGTGGATCCATCATGTGCGGTAACCAAGCTTAGGGGGGTTTCATCGAACCCCTGGCGCGCATCCTTCCGACGGTCGATCGCTGCAGTCTCCGGTGGCAAAAGAGGGATCCGGGTGAAGTGGGACCCCGGCCTGAAAATATTTAATCTGTTGGGCTTTTTTTTTGGCCTAGTTAACCAGACTGTTTGCCTCGAGAAAACTTCTTCCAAAATATTTTCATCATCATCATCATCATCATCATCATTATCATCATCATCTTCTGTTGTTCTTCTTCTTTGCTTTGCACAGTGTATCAAAGTAATTTATTTCCCGCTGTTACGACGCTGTATTTATTTGCTGTCGATGTGTAGGTTTTTTTTTGTTTTTTTTTCCCTTTGCCTCATGGCTGTCATCCTTGCGCAGAGGCCATGCAAATCTACTTTGTATGGTTCCAATTTTCGTGGATATCCCGGAGGACCTGAGTATGCAGTCGTACTTTTGGATGAACCATCATCTCTGCCATTCGAAGGTACATCCTCGTAGAGAGATGCAGAGAGTTGCTATTGATCTGCTTTTCTGCATCTTTGTGCAAAACACATCCAGATTCAGTAATTAAACCCGATCATCTTTGCTGATTGGACCATGCCCCTGGTAACTTCACTCGCCGTCGAATCTTATCTCCCTCTTCTTTGCTTGCGAACCGCTCCAATTCTTGGCTTGCGATACCCCTCCACTTCTGGGCTTGCTATAGAGCCGCCAAGCCCCACTTGCCTTGCCCCGATTCTTTATTTCGGACCGTTAATCGTCATACTAGTGTACGGTCAGATATCTAGAATTGAGGGGCACGTGTGACTTCAGCCTGGTGTCCTCTTCTCTGTGCTTTGCGACCTGGAACCAGCTGAGCCCCTCGGAATGGTCTTCCAGTCCTGATCTACCACATCGCTGGGCTTCTGCCCCGTTCAGGGAACACTGTCCTACTGGGTCAGCCGACGAAGCGCATCCGTCGTTTGGTTCTGGATCTCAGCATACCATTCCCGTTCCTCCCCCACCAGTCCGAGCTGTGTAGACAGCATCGACGGGGCTTGATTAAAGTGATCTCCCACCATCTCAAGTACACGATTAAGGATGGCTGTCAGGTTTCTTCGTCGCTCGACGTGGGGTGCATGAACTGGCAGCACAGCATTGACGAGTCTCGTTCCGTGTTTTACCGCTAGAACGGCATTCACTCGTCGTTCGAAGTACTCGAGGTGCCACTCCGCAGATGCGTCGGACGCGTCGTTTTGCGATGGCGGCTGTACTGTGGGCCACCATGCAACATTCCCGAAGGACTGACATAAATGCAAAACGAACCACTTTGTCATCTCCAGCATGCTACTGGTGATGCGCCCGTAACAACTTTCGAAGTCGCTCTGACTGTCTATGCAGGTCGCAGGGCGGAGCGCTCCAGGTTCTAAGATCCCCTCTAAGCTGTTGTAAAAGCGTCCCTCATCCTCCTCATTCGTTGGAAGGATGCCGTACTCGTTCCGGAAGTCCGGCACCGTCAGTACGTCCGCCAAGAGTGCGGCTGCGGATGCACTACAGCGGTTGTCGGTGAGCATCGACAAGAGAGATTCGCCGGCGGCGGTGGCGATAACCCGGCGGAGGTCGTGTTTATCAACGGAGGAAAGGAGAAGATCGCGCAGCGTCTCTGCGGTCTCGCAAGCAAACCACTTAAGCTGCCTAGCTTGGTCTTGCTCGGCGTACTTGAGACATCGGATCAGGCCTCTACCTATCTCGACGTCGATGTCCCTGATGCTTTGAGATATGCAGATCTTTGCCAAATGCAGCATCGAAAAGCAGGCGTGTCTAACGAGGTGATCGTCTTCAGGGAGATGGCTGATGCAGTCTTTCAGTCTCTCCCGAACGTCGTTGTCGTCATCTCTTATAGTAGCCAAAGGTTCAGGGAAACTGGCTGGATACGGCTTTTCGAAACGGTGCCAGTATAGAATCCTTCTGGACCAGAGAGAGGAAAGCGTCTGTATGCATGTGAAAGGCAAATAGTAGACTGTGTCGTCGTCGTTCCCGTCAGTGTAGCGGCTAAGAATGTGTTGGGTCTCCTCACTCCTCCAGTCGGCGTAGCGGAGAAGAATGTCGATGTTCTCATGTCTCTCTAAGACAGAACGAACTCCGGGGACCCACGATCTGTTCGCCCGCTGGAAATCAGGCAATTCAGTCCGAAGAAGCCAACCAGTGGGATGATGGGTTGTGAAAGCATTGCTGAACCTTTCGGAGAAGATGAAGCGCTGCATCTCCTCCTGGGTTGCCACAAGGGAGAGTGCATACGCGTGAATTTCGCTCGCCGCATGCGCGAAGGAAGAGATTGCCTCTGCCGCCTGCAGAGGATGATAAGCTCTCGTCAGTAGGGTTATCAGCTTTTCAAGCAGGGGGGAAACGATGTGGTTAGCGAAGTCAGAATCGCGCAGCATGTTCAGAGTCTGATTCCCATCGTTGCGGCCAGATCCAACAGGCTGCCAAGGAAGGACGGAGAGACCAGACGCGAATCCCGCCAGGATTGATGCAGCGTACTGGACAGAGCGGTTCGTTGGGGGGCAGTTACGTAGCAACCCCAGCATCTTCCCATATCCGTTGTTATACGCAAAATCTCTCCCGGCATCTACATCATGCTTACAGCGGTTGGTTTGCGGAAGATCCAGCATGAACTTGTCTAATCTACAGCAAAAGATGCTGGTACGGCCCCACGCATTCTTGTTGATGGAGAGCTCGCGAAGAGACGAGAGCGCCTCAGCGTGCCCGTATTCTACACTTCCCGAGTAGGAGTTGTCCACCACAAAGAGCGTATTTCCCACGATATCTAACAGTGTCTTAACGTCATAAAACCAGTATCCTTCAAGTCCACAGATGTTACCTCTACTTAGCGATTCCCTTGCATTTTGGTACCACATTTCACAAGTTGAGTGACAACAATGCCTCATCCATGTCATGTCGATCTGCGCCTGCTTCACTGCCCGGACCAGCTGTTCGCTAAACGGACGACTGGGCTCCTGGATGTTCCCTCGCAATACGTTCCAGCAAATCCCTTTAATAAACGGGAGGAAGACAATAAGAAGAGAAATCGCACACTGTGGCACAGTTAGATAGAAGCTGAGGTCGACAACGGTGACAAGACGACGATTGTCAGTACGCAATTCGTACGCTGGGTCCTTCTTCAATTCAGGGACGATGCTGCGAAGGCTGGACATTAGGTACAATTGGGCTACTGCTGCAATTACACGGATGACGGCGTGGAATGTTATGTGCGTAAAGATGTACACGATCTGTCCATTCAGGATTGGGATGGGCCTAACCAAACCCCCGAAAGCTTCACCGTGGCACGCTGCAAGTTTCGTGCACGGTCTTTCAAGAAAGTATCCGTCGTCAAACTTCCGCAGAATCCAATGAAACCAAGGAATGACCGCGAGTAGTATGTAGCAATGGAAGATATTGGAATCCATGAGGCCACCGAAGGCGCCAATGGCGATGCTAAGAGCGACTACTGATTCCACTGCGCATAGAATCCATTCTAAACAACTTAGCCCAAAGATTATATGCGCTAAGATTCGGCAATCCGGGGCAACTTTGTACACCATTCTTGCTACTTTCGCCAGGACATTAGCCCACGTAAGACCCCAAGGGGGTTTCCTTCCCGTAAGCACCCGGTAACTCTCTCTCTCTCTCTCTCTCTCTCTCTCTCTCTCTCTCTCTCTCTCTCTCTCTCTCTCTCTCCCCGTGTGTGTATAGGAGCGCGGGCACGATAGCAAACGTGACAAGTCCACTTTTCTTTCTTTTTTTAAGGTTGACGGCCTTGAGATATTTTCATCGGACTGAGAGGCCCCAGGCAATTCAGATTTATTTTGTTCTGTTATGCTAGGGATTCGAATTCTGGTTGTCTATATCAGCAGATCATGGGTGTACAAACTGAGCTATGCCCGTTGGTATGTGGCAAACTAGTACACTTTTCCTAACGTCTGTCCCTCGTCCACGACCTCTACACGTCCTATGTTTTACAAGTCCGCTTTCTCTCCTCGCAGTCGTCTTGCTAGTCGGTATTGCATCATGCCATTACCCCACGCTTCCCCTTCGGGCGCTCTCTCGTATTCAGACCCCCCTACTTCCCCGTCTCGCCTACCTGTTTATCCGTCAGATTCTAATATACATCAGCGCCTCCGCCATTTTCTATCACGAGTCTTCATGTCAGGAGATTGTCCAACCGATGATAGTGGAGCTGTGCCCCCCCTTCGGCTCAACTTTCTGCACCGCTGCTTATCATACACCCCTCTCGCCTGCGGTGCTTGGCCGGAAAGCATGTTTCATATCCTTTGCTGCCAAACGGTCACGGGGTGCAAGAAGACTACCCTTGTAGCTCGTAGAAGCAGAACGACGTGCATGGCGGGAACAACAAACATCTTGTCACTCGTCCAATGACCGGGTTCTTCCACGTGGTCCCGGGTTATCACCTCTCCTTGTGCAACAAGCTCCGTCGAATGCTCGAGAGCCTTAAAAAACGGCGTATTACCTTCAGAAAGGAAACCAAACGAGCCATCGCAAACCCTTCAGCGAAACGAGTATGGCCACATGACTCTGAAGACACAGTGAAACGTTACATGGGGTCAGCCACAGGGACGTTGGAATGAGAGGGGGGTTCTAGGAGAAGAACAAGTTGGTCGAGGCAAATTCGGGTTGCAAGATTTGAGTTGCAATGTTGGATTGTGGTTTACGTGCACGAAATGATTGTTGTCATGTTACTCTCAACAACCAGAAAGGCACATGATTTTCATGCACGAATTGACTGTAACGCTACCCTTTAAAAGCAGCAATGCCTTCGGAAGAAGGGTCAGTTGTTCATAGATGTTCAGGAACGGCGCCTTACCCTGTGGGCGGAGTGCTCAATGAATCAAAAGCCTCTTAAAGTTTTGCAGACGACCGGAAGGACTAAAAATCCTGAAACTTTCGAATTTTCAACAACGTTTCCTCGGATCAGATCTCCTTCAAGTCGGCCTTGCACCAACGTTTCACCTTCGTTTTCAGCGTTGTGATGACCTGCAAAATCACAGACTGAAAACTCTGCTTTTTCGTAAGTTTCGCCCCTGGATTGTGGGACTTGATGAGATTCCAGCATTCTGCTGAGATTTCTAAGTACGCATGTGTGCATTATTGTTGAGATTCGATGCATTTGTCTGACTCCATGATTGCTTGGGGTCTAGGGGTACAGGTCCAGTAGGGCCTACAACAAAGGATATCAGACTGCAATGATGTTTCCATTAGAAAGGAGGAAGGTGCAGGCAGCTTCCAAGGATGGGATAATTGGTGGAAAGTGCCCACGACGGTTTTGGGTGTCCAGAGTTCTGCCGTTTGGTACTACTGGCCCAAACTTCTTCCACCTGGGTGAAAGGCACCTTCGCGCTATGAATCCCCCGTGGCCACGAGGCTGCGGTCATGACCGCAATGGTCGCGGTCGGCCGCGGCCCAGGGGAGAGGGGGTTGAGGGTGGGGGTTGCGGATTGGGGTTCCCGAATGCGGACCCCACCCCATTGATAATAAAAGAAGTTAAAGAATTTTTTTTTTTTAATTTTTAAATTTTTTTTTTTGGCTAATTCTTTGAAGCCCAACCAATTCAATTACCTGTCACATCTGGACAGGATGGCCTTTCAAGCCTTTTTTTATTGTCATTATAGTATTACGGGGAACCCCGTAGCAGCCACATCCGTGCTCTGGTGCTCAAGCCTCCAACGAGGGAACATGTGGGAGCTGCACCCACCAGCAGGTGCGATACCTGCTACAGAAGGTGGGCGATTCTGGCCAGGGGTCAGCCGGTAGCATCAGGACCGAGCTTCTTCGATGGGCCAGTCACTGTGCCTCCCCTCCGGTCCCCTCCCCCTATGAACATCAGCAGTCTCTGCTCAATGCCACTCGGGGGGACCAACGGCATATCTCTAGGTGGTGGGCGCCAAGCTTGCCCAGGAAGGTGCATGAGGCCAATGGGGATTGAACCCAAGATTTTTGGGGGGTTGTGTTTGGTGTGTGAAAAAGAAAAGAAAAGAAAAAAAACATTGATTGATTGATTGATTTGCAATAACCCATGTAGTAAGCCTCGTGGAAACTGAGGGCCTCGCCACCTCGCCAGGCCACACCCAGGCCCAAGCCAAAACGGGCGAAAAGACCCCAGCAAAGATTCAGGGCCTGGAGGAGGTACAGTTGACAAAAGTCAACTGTCGGAAACCCCAACAGTCAACGTCAAAATGTACCCAGCCCAGGCTGCCGGTCCAACACACACATTTGTTTGTATGCAGGTACCCAGACAGCACCAGGTCCAAGGGGAAAGTCTGCAACTGGACCATCCTGGCCTCCGGCTGTGAATCAATCTGGACGACCGAAAGGAGGAGACTGAGGCCAGAGAGGCTCGCCAAATGCTACTTAAAGACTGGCCTCGAGTTGGTCAACATTCAGTCTTGCCATGCTGATTTGACGCTGGCTCGACTTTGACGAGATGCTGGCATTATGCTGGCGCGACGCTGGCTAGGACACTGGTTGTGCATAGGCGTTGCGGACGACGGCACAAGGTGGAGGCAGCAGGCTGGTGCTTCTTGTTCTGTGTGCCAGGCATGCTGATGTGGCACTGCCTCTGGTCTACATTGCATGCTGATGTGGTGCTACCTCTGGTCTACATCGCATGCTGATGTGGCGCTGCCTCTGGTCTACATTGCATTCTGATGTGGGGCTACCTCTGGTCTACATTGCATGCTGATGTGGCGCTGCCTCTGGTCTAGAAATCGCATGCTGATGTGGCGCTGCCTCTGATCTATAGTGCATGCTGATGAGGCGCTACCTCTGGTCTACATTGCATGCTGATGTGATGCTGCTACTAGTCTACATTGCTGATGTGGCGTGGGCCACTGCTCTTCATTGATGATGTGCCGTAGGCCACCTGTCTCGAGTGCTGACGTGGCATTGTCCACGTTGTCTACATGAGGTGACTGGTTGCGAGGAGAAGGAAGGTCGGGATCTGTGGATGAGGGAGGTCGGATACTCACCTGAGGTTGATGTCGTCACTGAAATCTGCTGTGTCTTCATGGTCTTCACCAGATAAGAGCGCCACGTGGCACTACTGTATGTGATCAGGACTACTATACTTGTTATAATCTACAAGTTGTTGTTGACGTGGAGAGGGAAGAAGCCCGGAGAAGGAGAGGGGTTTGACGGGATTACTCTTGTGTGATCTTTTATCATCCCTTCCACCTTCTCCTCGGTCTGATCCCCCTCCACTCTCTTCCTCTAATGGTAATGAGATGCTGTTTGTGATATCACTTCATGATTTGGAGACTTTGTTGCATATACCAAGACTACTGGTGTTTGACGATTTCTGAGTATCTACCAGACTGGGTTCATTACAATTTGGTATCGGAGCTAACTTCTTTCATCGCAATCTGCTGTCTGCTGTCAGGTGCTGACATGACACCCAGGTAAGTGGGAGGTGCCGCATATGCAAAACGAAACGTGTTTATTAATCTGCGCGGTAACTACCGCAAGTCTAGACATTGTAGTATTGCACAGTGCCGGTCCCGTGAACGTGACCGGCCGGTCACCGGGTTCACCGGGGCCAATATCTGTGAACGGCCGTTCACTGCGGCCGTTCACGGGTTTTCTGCCCACGTGGACGGCGGTGCCGTAGGGATCGTGGCGGGAGGGGTGTGGTGCGGGGGCCTTCTACACCCCCGTGCCTTCAAATCTATTAAAAAAAAAAAAAAAGACCCAGGACGGGGTGGCTTTGATTAAAAAAACAAAAACAAATTGAGGGGCATTCAATCATCAGGCTTCGTCATAACGCACGATCA